AATATGGAAAAGAAATAGAGTACTACTTATTCACAAAAAGTTATAGAAATCTTACTGGTTCATTGTCAAGGTGAAAATATTGAATATTTTATTGTTAGTCCACAATACTGGGATTAGATGCGCCCTTGATTTAATATTATTTTATTGGCATTTATAAACTTTCGAAACACGAAGAAGTAGATGACTCATTCGTCATAGTTGCGTAGGTGTAGCTCAAGCCTTTTGTATTAAGGAGCGTTTATAAGAGACACTGTAAAAATGTGAGCTTGACTTCGAAATAACAAAATTTAAGGAAGGGAGAGCTATTTGACGAGAAACTAATCGAGTTCCTCGTCAAATAATTACGTGAGTAAGCCGAAAACATAATAATTAATTTATTATGTCTCACGAAAGTTATAATAAAAAAAGGGGAGAGCTATGTTTAAGTTCCAATGGGCCAGCTCAACCGGAGTGATACACCCCGCCCGGCGTAGAACAAAGTGTGTTTGAGGCTACCTTAGACCCAATCAGTGTATTTGTGGAAGAGCCAAGCTTCGGCACGAATGGGTCGGCTCGACCAGAGTGATACCACGGCCTCACAGAATACATGCATGAAACAACCCACAGTGTTGTGTTTCGCCGTGTGAGTGAGGTTACCGGAGGCTCAATCCCTTCCCTTTCCCTATCCCTTCCCGATCCTTATATCCGCAACCCCTATCCCAAAAGGCCGGCAACGCACTCGTAACTCCTTTGGTGTTGCGGGTGTCCATGGGTGGCGCCGATTGCTTACCATCAGGTAATCCGTCTGCTCGTTTGCCGAATTATATATACCATAAAAATGATTGCCCCCCTTATCCTCAGTCCCCAAACTCTTCATCTACAAAACCCTTACAAATTCTCTCTCTGGCTCTTTTACATTAAGTGTAGCTAATGTATATGACATAAAAATCATACCTATTGTATCTTTATTAGAAAAAAGAGTTTTATTTAATTAAGTATTAACAAAGATACTAGAAACTCGGTACAAGAGATTTCTACGCAACATCGTTACAAACACAACATCCAGGTATTCAGTAAAACTTAGGTTATTGTAAAATAAATTATTTTTGTTGTGCTCTCATAAACATAGGTAATACACGAACTGCTAAGGAGTTCCTGTGATTGTATTCACGGTTTAGTGAATATAATTTGATTGAAACCGTTACAACAAGGCTTCCTTATGAAGGAAAGTATGGCCCACGCAAGTCGGTTCTATATATTTAATCTCTCAAGATATTTTTGCTTTTAAGACGGAAATGCCTAAATTGAGCTTGGGCGTCCATCTGACCAATCGGAGGACACGGTTGAGCATATGGTGGCGGTTAGCCCTGCTTGGACTTAACAGTGAGTGAAGCGCAGAACAAGTCGAAGAAAGTCGGTTGCGTCATCTCGCTTCCAGCCTTGGTGCGAGATTAACTGGGTAGCCGTCTTCTCTTTCTGTCTGTCTCTTTCTGCGGACGCTGCTCACGGATAAGACACGTTGTAAATTGAAACTAACGCTGTTTAAAAAAAAATAGGATAACTCAACACATTTATTAGACAAACATTTTAATACTGTTGCTGGACAGCAGAAGTTTGGAAAAGAGAGCGTCATTAATTCAAAAAATAAAAATTTTTGAGAACAAGACGCATCAGGAGTGGTCGATTATATATGTAGTGAGTCGAAAAAAGTCTTTTTGAGGGGAGAAAAACATCAAATGACTTCTATCGCTGGGTGGGGTGCGAGAGAGTGTCAGGGCGTATTCCTGTCTCTTACTAACTAAAACCTACCCCGTTCCTTCTCCAGCTCCAGGTCGAGGCCACGGTATATTATCGCAAGTGACCCACAACCCCGGCTGAATATGTGACCATCTTTAGTGTACCGAAAATTATAACTAACCGATATTCTAATTATAATCCTTTGATTCTTCATTTGACTTTTTTTTTATCACAAATTCCGATGAAGTATTTTGGTAATTAAAAATGGATTCAGTACATTAACTGCAATAATTGTTGCAAGAGCATATTAAGACATTTTGAAAAATAAGTGGTAAACTGAGGCCATTATTTCGACATTGACATGAAACAAAACATGTAATAATAAAATTTTCATTTATTTTATGAAAACTGTTAAAATTTTTATTTCTGTAACACAAAAATATGCAAATATCTTCACTAGACTAATACAAAACAAGTAAAAAATAATGTCGTAAATTGTAAAATAATGTCGTAGATGACACGAATACACATTTTAAAGACTGTAAGTATTACTGTAGATACCTACAATACAAGCTAATTTTATAAATGCGAAAATAACTCTGTCTGTCTGTCTTTTCTTTACGCCCAAACTACTGAACCGATTTGTGTGATATTAGGTACAGACATTTTTGAAGTCCAGAAAGGACATAGGATGGTTTTTATACCAAAAATCTGCAGCAAATCACTATTCCACGCGAACGAAGTATGTAACATAAGTTAAGATTACTTAAACAGACGAGCTTGCTAATTATGTAGTTATACTAAAAACTTTAACTTTTTAAGATGAAATGTTTACTTTGTTTTATTACAAATTAAATTGTTTACCTTCGCACAATAATAAAACGGTTCTGCCATTATAATTTTATACTTTAAAATGTAACATAAGTGCATATTAATCTTTAATGGCATATACTAATGGTATGCACTGAATAAAACTGTTTGGCTTATGATTTTTTACAATTAACTTTCAGGATTTCAAGGATAAATAATCTATTACCGTTTAGTTATGAAACTGACTATTATTTTTTTCAAATTCTTCAAAAAGTTGTCTCAAAACTACCGCCTCTAATTAGCGAAAATAGAAAGATTTTATTTTAAGTGTACTTTTGTGGTTTGTTGGGGATTTAATGTTATGGGAAATAGAGAAATGGCTACCCTACAAACATAAGTTTATCCCAGACCTTGATTTTTTTATTTATCTTAGGTACCTTCAACCGTTTTTTCATGTGAATGTGTTTTGCTTTTACTTATTATTTCGAATATTTTCGTAATATTAAAACTTGTTATACAGATATAGACACTAGAGCGAAACTTATTATGGAAAATGTAAAAACAAAAATAGGCCAAAATATCATTATTAATTGTTTAATGCATTTTATTAAGGTTTACTTATCCCATTTTAGACTAACGGATGATTTTTCAAGAGTTAGAAAAGTTATCTGGGGAATTATGCCGATGATGTTGTCGCGTCAGTATGTTTGTATAAGACAGTGACAGCAACAATTTTATTCCTCAGAAAACGTTTACCTGACTATTGAAAAAACAGTCCTAAGAACAATTCAACTATTCTGAAAATTATTTCAACATCTCAAACACCCAAAGCCGACCAGATAGAAATAAAACAAATGATTGGTTGTATAAAACTCTTTCTTCTTTGCATAATTCCACCGGATTCAAACTATCAATTATTAGCTGTAACGGATAATCGATTTGACTTAAGACTTTTTGCCGATTATATAACCTAGATTGTTATAGTCTTACAGCGTTAAAAAAACTGATGAATGTTCAGGTATTAGACCAATCTATATAGTTTTACATAAGGGAGTGGATCCAAAACCTGGCGAGTCTTAGTACTAATGTGACAACTAAATAAGAATTTTCCAAAGCAATATTATTCTGTTGTTTCTTTCATTGCATTTAAACCATATCAAGTTATAGCAATAAGTATAAGAGCCAAGCGGCCACTAATGGCCCTGCTAGTGCGGAGTGATACCACTGCCTCACAACAAGAAAACCGACGTGCAACACTACAGCGTTTTGTGAGTGACGTCATCAGAGGCCCAATCCATACCCTCCATTTCCTCCCATCGCCAATCCTCAAACTCCTCAATCCCTAAATCATGTAAAAAATCCTCGACTTAGCGGGGGCCATGCGCAGAGCAGATTGGCTACCAATAGATGATACATATACGCTTATTTGCCAAAAAGTTTTGCTTTTAAAAGAAAAATACAAGTTGTACGTGACTTACCGTCAATCAACTCCATTCATATTCAGTCCACCTTCGTGTTAACAATAGTAAGAGTTATAATATAAAGTTTCTAATAAATCTGAACACTATTAAATATTATTCAACGCTACATCTGTTACATAACACTTACATAACTTACATCAATTACAATTCAAAAATAAACTGATTGAAACAAGACTATTAATTTACACGATTATTAATAGGTATTAATTTTTGTTGCGATACTGATTTTCTTTGATATGATTTTATTGATTTAGGTCACCATTTTAATGTTTGAAAAGATATCTACTTCGTCAATAAAAGCGTGTCATATAAAGTGATATAGTAATGTTTTGATTCCTCGTCGCGTTCTTCAATGTTCCAAAATATCGAATCTGAAAAAAGCCACTTGGAACTAGTCTAGTGTTTTTGGTATCTAGGAATAGCTTCGATTGCTTACCGTCATAAGCTCGTTTCGAGCCCTTTTTTGGAGGGGGACGTCTCTAGCCAGGGACAAGGCGAAAGGGTGTGTCAGAGTCCTACTTACTAAAAATCGCCCCGTTCCTACTTCTACTCCAAGGCGAGACTGTAACATTTTGCACTTTCCCCGCAACCCCGGTTACCCTAAAAAAGTCTGTCTATTTGCTCACTATATCTAACTGTAAATTTGAATACACATTTCCTGGAACTGAGTTCATCGAAGATGACAATGGGCTCTATTCTGTTATACATATGAGGAGGCAAAATATATCCTATATGGAGAAAAATGGATGCTATACTTCCATTCAGAAAATTTTAAGTAACAAATTAATCAAGCATTCATTTAATTCGTACCGTTTTTAAAGGTACATTCCTTTTTTTGTTTTCTTAGATCCAACACTTTGCCGCTGTGCATTCAACCGTAAAACGGTTCATAGAAAGTGTTATAAATTCGTTTTCTTTCTTATAAGAAGCTGAATGACATCGTGGGCGCCATTGCTACCGAGTTCATTTACACTATAGTACAACAGTTTTGAAATGAAGACCAAAGTACTGGTGAGTTTAGTTTTTATTGTTAATACCTATTTTGTTCCAGTTTTATGTGTAGTTTAACAGTAACGTGTAGAACATTTTTTTATAGCAAATAATTCATTGAATATTTCAAAAATTTTGTATCTTAAAGAAAAAAAATACCCATTTTTATTGTTATTTTATATTATTCAAAAACATTGTTAGGTTACTTAATGTTTCTTGAATGGAGTGATTACTTTATTATTATTTTAAAACGCCTGTTGTTTATCTATTATGCTGTATCTAATAAAAAAAATAGTAGATGTATGGATTTGTTTGGGCCATTTTTAGTGTAGGCATGCATGATAATTGTTTTAATAACATTTTATTAAGTACACAAAAGAAGAATAACCCTGAAACAAAGTGAGATAAAGCCAATCTTGACACATTGCACACTAAGATTTACAACTGCAAAATTAATTCCTTAATCTAATTATCATAAATTTCATAAGTCACGTGTTTGTAATTAATCAAGTTATGAGTAATTAAACACCTACCGGCCTTAGACATTAAGGTTGAGCAACGAAATTGTAATTGTTCGTGCATACATTAATTGCAGCTTGTTGACACTAGTTGTGCTGCTAATTCATTATTTGTGTTTGATACAAGAATATTTGTTGATTTGTTTATTATGAAACAAACAACAGTTACTAACACTAAATTTTTTTTTTATAATTCATGCTCATCACGCATACACAAACAGAGGTACATAGGTACTGCATATTCCTATTTCCTATAGCTACGAAATCTTTTCCTGCAGTTCTTCGTAAGAAAAATGTAAAAGACATAAGACACAGTGTATAACAAAATAATAAAACGGCTGTATTTCATTAGTCACGTCATTACACGCCGATGTCCAGCCAGGGTTGCGTGTGCTCAAAGCAGAAGAACGAACTGGGCGAGAGAGAGTGTCAGACTCTTACTGACTAAAAACACCCGTTCCTTCTCTTGCTCTGGGCCGAGGCCACGGTGCCTCATTGCGATTGCCGCGCAACCCCGGTTGAACATTAGCCCCATAGGGCCCCGTCTTTAGTGGTCTATTGGCTCTTTTAGGCGCGCGCGGAACGCTATGCGCCGTACGCTCGGGTCTGGTTCTGGTCAGGCGGCGAGCTACCCTAATTTCTCGATCATTAATACTTCCTGAGAATCTCTTCCCAATATTTTGCTGACATCTAGATGCAATAGCTGAAGTGAAACTGTAGGTTATATCAAATTAACCCTTTTGTAATAAAGTCTATTAACGAAATGTGTATAATACTAAAATAATTAGATATGTCGGTGACTGTATTATGCGTATTTATGTTAATTAATAAAACTGTCAGCACATTATTTACTAAAATATGTCCCAATCTGCTCGGCTTTCAAAATTCTTATGGTATGCAACTATTTCCTGTGTTACGTTAAAATATATAAAGCAATACCTTGTAAAAAGTATGTTTTTCTTAGAATAGTGCGATTAAATAATGCTTTCCATATCGACAACATATTCGGTCACTGAAGGATTTAGATTCCATCATTATTATTATTATTGTAAAAGCTTATATTATAAGCTTTTACAGACATCCGTTACACTAGAGAAGTAAGTAGTGCTTTACTGGTCTTTTGGGAATAAGAGTATCGGAGATTTACGGAATGTGAGGTATTAGTAGAGTTGATTAGTAGAGTTGGGAGAGGCAACGCTATGGTTGTTGCACGCCGATTTTCTGTGAGGCAGTGGACATTGGACGACGGTCAAGTCGACTTATTCGTGTCGAAGCATGACATTTTCGACACTAAATTGATAAGAAAATTGACGCTATATTTATATCTGACCAGGGTTGCGGGATTAAACGTAAAATGTGATTGGACAAAGCTTAAACAGTTTCTGACATAGTTTCATAATTATTATTGAGACTTTGCCTGATAAGTTTATTATATCCTCATTCTGTGTATTTTTACTTTTCCAGTTGATTTTATCCTGCATGGTCCTAGCGACGTCAGCATGGTCGATGCCGTTCTACCGAGTACCACAAGGACCAATGAGGTTCACGAGATTTGCACCACCGCCGCCTGGACATCTACGGCTACATCCCCTGCATCTTCCTCATCACCACACTCCACTACATTTGCAGCCACAAGCTCAACCCCATTTACAACCACAACATAAGACACCAGGTAAGATGGTTTCTATTCTTCATATGTTAGATACTAGAAATTTTCACCCGCTGTTCTGTTCTTTCTATAGCAATGTTTTGGCTTATAGCCATTCTCGAAAAATGAATATAGTATAGTTCCAGAGAAAAGCGCGTTGAGACAAAAAACGTATTATTTTTATAAAATTAACATAAATTGATTTGATTGATTTAATTGGTACAGCGATAAGAATTAAAGTTTAAGAATTAAAATTAAAGAAAAAAGTTTTGGGTTGTAGATATAAATAGACTGCGGCAAATGTTTTCTGTTTTAAATGGATTATAAACGTTTGTGTTGTTGTAATATTATACAAAAATCTACTAAAATGCAATCAACTATATTTTTTGCACTTGCAAAATAATTCGTTTTGTCGTGTATTATTCAATAATCATGATTTCATCTATCACTATACCAAAATTAATTACAATTAGTTCTACAAATTTAGTATGAAAGTGTGACAAAGAAACTTACTTTCAGTTAGTAACATTTGCGTATTGAAATAAAAATTGAGGCCTTGACAAAGAATAGGGTGGTTTTTAATCTGTGAGAGTCTGATACTCCCTCTTAGACCCCATTTAGGGTGAAAGAAGTCATTTTAAATTTCCCCTCCCTTCCCCTATTAAGAAAAGGGCCCCATACTGCCAGTTATACTCCCAGAAGCCAGAACATATGGCACCAATAATGCCATTAAAATATGTGTAAAGACAGCGCAATATAATTCAATCATATTTACCTTTACAGTGGAATCAGGAGATCTAGAAGACACAAAATGGCAGCGTCCAAAACGTGGTCATGATGACTATGACCATGATCATGACCATGACCACAGGGGGACCAGTGGGGTCACGGGCCCAGTGCATACGTTCGTCAAAACGGACAAGAATGCCAACTACAAATGGGGTGTAAGACACCATGTGGGGGACAAGTACGCTTCCTAGACCCCAAAACGTCTCTCCAAAACTATTGTTACATTATTTATTTAATAATACTTTTAGATTTAGTTGTTGTGTTACTTAATTAGATTTATATCACGGTAAACGTTGTTTTATTCATGCTACGTGAGTGAGTTTTTATTCTGATGCAATTGTGGTATACAACGTGTTGCACACGAGTAAAATATGTTGAGTGCGGAATTTGGAATTTGGCTTAGCTAGGTAATTGCTTAGGTTTTTGCTCTTAGTTTTTTTCCAGAAGGATTTTTTCTGATACATTGCATTTTTACTGATATAAACTTTGTTACTTTGACAACACGGTTGGCGCGTTGGCTGGGTGATCTGCATTTGAAATTGTATGTTAGCTAACGCACCCATGACACAGAAGAAAATCCTAGTGCAGGGAAAAGTTTTAAATAAAAAAAGGTTTTACGACCACCCTGGACTAACATAGAGACTGCTTAGCTATAGAACTTTCGTGACACGATATTGGACATGAAAAAAAATTCTTCACTGAAAGCATGTTTTATATTAATACTGTTACGTGCCTGACGTCACGTTCCTGACTATCCGGGCTTGGGTTACGGGATTGGATGAAATGAAACACTAATACCGGTTTTCAGACTTTCTATTGTACTTAAGTTACAGCGTCCACGGAGTTAAGTTATCGGCGTTCTTCTCCAGCAGAGTCCGGCCGACTGACACAACTTTGTCGTTCACGCTGACTTAACTCACTTAACTGACTGCACTTCACTATTTCACTGCACTTCACTATTTCACTCACTTTTCTTCTTTTCCACTTCTTCCTTTTCTTCCGAATCGCTTTAGACTTAGAACTCAACTGCCAGCGGTGAGCCGCAGTTCCGCTTATATACCCCCGGTCAGGTTCTAGAACATTCAATTTCGTTATTCTTTTTGATCGTCATGCCTCCAGAACCTTCCAATAATTTCGTTATTCATTTTTATTTATTCTCCTTCTCGCTCCTTAATTTTTCATTTCTTTCACTCAAATAATTCCAGAAAGTTCGACAAAACTTCCATCAACTAAAAAACTTCATGTTTACGGCGGGACTCGAACTCGGGGTCTCTGTGGTGTAATCCACACGCCTTACCGATTACACCAACTCGTGTTGACAATTCACGACGAAATTTACAATCTCTAGGCAACGTTTGACAACCATCCCTTGACGTCATGATGTCAAAGAGTTTTCCGTCACACTGCCCCCCTCTTAGATTCGCTCGTCCCGAGCATCGTTGCTGCCGTAATACCTCGCCAACCTGTCTATATGGACAACTTTCAAAGGGCTCCTTGAAGTCTTCCGAATTCTGTAAGTAATGTCATTGATCTTCGTGACTATCTCATAAGGACCTTCCCAACTCGGTTGCAGCTTCGGAGATTTTCCCTTCCTTCTGACTGGATTATGAAGCCAGACCAATGACCCTTCTTCAAACCCAACAGAATTGGCTCGTCGATCATAGCGCGTCTTTGCGCGATCACTAGCTTGAAGACCGGCCTCCCTGATCTGCTCATAAATGTCCAACATTTTTGCCCTTAACTCGCTTATGTAATCGCTAAATGCGGTGCGAGAGTCGCCAGGTGGACAGCCCGATACAAGATCTGCCGGTAATCTCAATTCCCTTCCAAAATTTGCAAATGCAGGCGTCTTTGCGGTACTTTCATGTACAGCAGTCCGATAGGCAAGCAAGAAGAGAGGTATGTAAGTGTCCCAATCTCTCTGATGGCTGTCAACCACCTTTGCTAAGTGTCGTTCCAATGTTTGGTTGAAACGTTCGACCATTCCATCTGACTGTGGATGATAAGGAGTCGTTCGAGTCTTATGGATTCCCAAAAGTTTACAAGTTTCCTGAAAAACTTGGGACTCAAAGTTCCGTCCTTGATCACTGTGCATCTCCAAGGGCACTCCGAATCGGGTGAATACCTCGTTTACCAACTTCGTGGCTACAGTTACTGCCTCTTGATTCGGTATGGCAAAGACCTCCGGCCATTTTGTAAAATAATCCATAACCACTAAAACGTAGCGATTGCCCGAATCAGTGATTGGAAATGGTCCAGCGATGTCTAAGGCTATTCTCTCCCAAGGCATACCAACATTGTAGATTTTCATCGCCCCTCTGCTTCTTGTTTGTGGACCCTTGACAGCTGCACAACTAGTGCATTTCCGGCACCAATCTTCGACGTCATATTTGCAATGCAGCCAATAAAACCTCTCCTTGATCTTCACCAAAGTCCTCCTAATTCCCAAATGTCCTCCAGAAGATCCATCATGGAACGCTTTTAATACATCCCTTATTTTTGAACGAGGCACCACCAATTGCAAATGCTCATCCTTGCCGTTTGTTGATTCCCATTTTCTGCACAGAAGTCCGTTATGCAGCGTAAGGCTTTTCCACTGTGCCCATAAACCTTTCGTTACCGCGCTATATTGGGCGACGTCACTCCAACTTGGCTTGTTACCACTTCGTAGCCACTCCAGTATTGGTTTGATATCCGCATCTCTTTCCTGTTCTAATTTCATCGCATCATCTCCCCATGCCTCGTCAACAGTATCAGTCCTTATCACCTTAAGAAAAGCAATTTCCTTCTTGGCACAATGCTTGCAATCTTCCACGCATGGGCGTCTCGATAATGCATCTGCGTTGCCATGAATTCTTCCGCCGCGATGTTCGATTTCAAAGTCAAATTCCTGAAGTTGTTCCAACCATCTGGCTACTTGGCCTTCAGGATCCTTAAACTGAAGCAGCCATTTCAAAGCAGCGTGATCAGTTCTGATTAAAAATTTCCGTCCCAGTAAATACTTCTTGAAATGGTGCAGAGTTTTGACTACGGCCAGTAATTCCCTCCTGGTCACGCAATAATTCCTCTCCGGCTTGGATAGTGACTTGCTGAAGTAAGCAATAACCTTCTCCTGCTCACCATCGCGTTGTGAAAGGACACCTCCTATTCCGATATTACTGGCGTCCGTATCAACTACGAATATTCCTTTCGCGCTGGGGTATCCGAGAATTGGCGTTTTACAAAGCCGTTCTTTTAGTTTGCGAAAGGCTTGCTCACAATCCTCGTCCCATATAAAGGCACGTTTCTCCTCTGTCAATCGATGCAATGGCTTGGCAATGTCCGAGAATCCCTTCACAAACCGCCGATAATACGAGCATAATCCAAGAAATGCCCGAACTTGCGTTTTGTCTTTAGGTGTTGGCCATTCCTTAACAGCGGCAGTCTTGGCTGAATCAGTCTCAATTCCTCTCTCAGAAATAACATGTCCTAGATAATTCACTTCGCGCTTAAAGAAAGAGCATTTCTTTGGACTCAACTTTAAATTTGCTCCACGCAGCTTTTCGAGTACCCTTTCCAATTTTCTTAGATGATCGTCAAAATCCCGTCCAACGATGATGATGTCATCGAGGTAAACTAGGCAGGTTTCGCCCAGCAGTCCCGCCAGCACCTGTTCCATCAAACGCTCAAAGGTTGCCGGTGCATTGCATAATCCAAATGGCATCACCTTAAATTGCCAGAGTCCCTTCCCAGTTGAGAATGCGGTCTTTTCCTTGTCCTTGGGATCCAAATCCACCTGCCAATAGCCGCTTTTCAGATCGAGCGTTGAAAACCATTTCATGCCACTCAGTGTGTCAAGTGTGTCATCGATTCTTGGTAACGGGTAGCTATCCTTCTTGGTTACATCATTCAATCGTCGATAGTCTACGCAAAACCTCGTTGAACCATCTTTCTTCTTGACAAGCACGACAGGTGAACACCAAGGGCTAGAAGAGGGCTCTATCACGTCATTTTTCCTCATATCGTCAATCATTTGTTCAACCTCTTTCTCACGAGCGAATGGTATACGTCTGGGCCTTTGACGAATTGGCATTGTATCACCTGTATTTATTTTATGCTTCACCAAACCAGTTCGGCCAATATCACCATCGCTTCTTGAAAACACATCAGAGAATCGAAGGAGTAAATTTCTAGCTTTCATAGTCTCCACTTTTGTCAGACTTTTGTTTTCGTCTAAGATTTTCGTTACAAAGTCTATTCCTGTACTGTCCTTCTTCACAAGATTCTCCGAGCATTTTCTTATCCAGGCCACTTCTTCCAAAACGCCCACAGGCTCTCCTTCTTCAATCGTAATTTTTGAATCACTGAAGTTGAATACCGAAATGCGGTTGACATCAGATGACCCCACGACAGTCCTTGCCGGTAGCCATGAGTTTACGTGTTCCGATTTATCAATCACAGCGCACCTTCGAGGTAAACTTCCTTCACTCCTCCTAGGGAATGCGATTGGTACGAGAGTCTGTGATTTTGGTTCAAGAACAGTTCTTCTTAAACAGCAAACTTTTCCCAGGGTTCCACCCTTCATCGGAATTTCCTCAGTTCCACATAGTAATACTCCAGATTTTAAGTCGATGTTACACTGGTGCCCTTGCAGGAAGTCAAGTCCCAGAATGCAGTCATCCAGAATTTTGGCCACAATAACCTCATGTCGATAAACACGTTCCCCAATTTTGATTGTTACGTGCAGTTTTCCACTTATCGGTATCCACTGGCCGGTAGCTGATTTCATTCGTAGGCCAACAATTGGTTTAACGTGTTTCCTGATGTTTTGCCCGAGCAGCCGAACATTTATCACCGTCCTTGAAGCTCCAGTATCTAATGTTAGCTGACTGTTTTTCCCATTTACTTGACCGTCTATCACCAGAGTATTTCCATCGTTAGTTTGCTTGATGTAGATTGTTGGGGTTATTCCACTACCGGCCAGCGCCCACCCCGCAGCCCTGGCTGGAATTAGTTTCCCTGCTGGTCAGAAGTTGAGACCGCCGCGTCCTGGCGGTTCACCTTCTTCGGGCAGTTGCTCCGCATGTGCCCACGCTCTCCGCATCCATAGCACATGAAGTTCCGACGGCGTGGAGGTACCTGCTCCGTAGTCATCATTTCCCGCAGACATAAGGTACGGGAGTTACCACGCACAGCTTCCACTTCCAATGCA